CGTGGAACACAGGCCGCTTTGCGGAGGAGTCGAGGCCTGGGTTTGGGGTCTCAGCGCGAGTCTTCGTGTCCCAAGCCCCCTGTCCTTTTGACTTGGCCAAACCCACTCGTCCGTGAGACCCGCCGCCCCCGCCGGGACAGCCTTTGCCGAACCCAGAGCCCCTCCCGTCTCCGTACCCCGCGCGCAGGGGCTGGGGGCCTCCCTGCGCTCCCGCAGCCGCCGCTTCTCCCGTGACCCTGCCCGTAGCGCGCGGGGTCTGAACCGTGTGGTGCGCGCAGGCCTCCCCCTGCAAGCCGGGGGCTCCTTGAAGGCAGGAAAAAAAGTCCTTCACGCCCTTGGAGCCATAAAGCCCACCCGACCCGGCTCGTGTTGATGAAAACTTTAAAAAAATTTAAAACGTACAGCGCATTTGCTTTCTATTTGGTTTAAAAATAGATAAGGCTGGTCCTTGCCATGGGCCAGGCATTCTTCTAAGTGCCTTCGAAATATTTCCGCATTTAATCCATACTCCATTGGTTCGGTTCTCAAAAGTGTGGCCTGATGACTCCAGGGGTTCCCCGATACCCGCAGGGCCCCTGGGCGGTTGTGCCTTTTGCCCACAGCATCGGAGGGAGAGGCTGGATGTGCTTCGGGTACTTAACACAAAGCTGCACATCTCCATAGACTGTGCAGAAGCAGATCTGAGGATCAGCTCCTGCAATGAGCTGCGCGCATTACAGAGACTTGCAGAAACCATAAACAGTGGCACTGTTCTCAGTACTCTTTTTGTTTGTTTGTTTGGGGGTAAAGTTATTTTTATTAAAAATATTTATGTTATAATGTGTCTGTTTTTAAATGAACCAATATTATTGTTTTAAAAACATCAGTTTAAATTCCTGGTTACAGTAGCGAACCATAGATCTAAGCCGCCTAACCAAACCTGGAGGTTCTTCAATTGTTTAAAAAGTGTCCTTGGAGCCCGGCTGGGGTGGCTCAGCGGTTGAGCATCGACCTAGGATCCAGGAGATGGCTGTTTGATTCCAGGTCAGGGCACACGCCAGGGGCTGCGGCTGGATCCCCAGTAGAGGGTGTGTAGGAGGCAGCCGATCAATGACTCAGAAGTCTTTTTATCTCTATTTTACAGACGAGGAAACTGAGGCACAGCCAGGTCAAATAACTTGCCCAGGGCCAGGCAGCTGGTAAGTGCTGACCAGGGGGTCAGGTCTGTGCAGAGCAGCCCAATGAGGTGGACACAGTACCACCCTCCTAGTTCGGGGACACTGAGGATTAGCTACTGTAACAAGTCGCCCCAGACTTGGTGACTCAACACAATATAAACTGACTCTCTCACAGCTCTGGAGGCCAGACGTCTGAGATCAAGGGGTTGGCTGGGCCCCGGTCCCTCAGGCGGGTCCAGGGGAGGGTCCTGCTTGCTTCCTCCAGCTTCTGGCCGCCTTGGCTTGTGGCCACATCACTCCAGTCTCTGCCTGTCCTCACATGGCCTCTTTCCCTGTGTGTCTGTTTCTCTGTAGCTCTTATAAAGACAATTGTTACTATTGCACTTGAAAAAAATTAACAGTAATTTCTTCACATAGAATATGCAGTGTGTTCAAAATAATTGTCTCATTTTTTATAGGTTTTTTTTTTGTTTGTTTAACTCAAGATGCAATAATGTCTTTATATTGCAATTGGTTGATACATTCCTCAGTCTCTTAATCCTTGATCTCTTTTTTATTTCCTAGCCTCCACATTTACTTGATGATGAAACAAGATTTTTTGGCTCTTAGAGATTCTCTGTCTGGATTTTACTAATTTCACCACTGTAATGCCCTTTAACATGTTTGTTTTCCTCATTTTCTGTAAACTGATAGCAGGGTCAAGAGATGTGATCTGATTTGAGTTCAATTTCTTGGGTTGGTGGTGTGTTCTAGCATTTCTTTTATCTTTTTCTGTGTTGTTTTTTTTAAATGTTTATTTAGATATGTCACATGCAATAATATTCACCCTTTTAAGGCGTAAATTCAGTGGTTTTTGGTATATTCATGAGCTTGTGCATTCACCACTCTCTCGTTTCAAAATGTTTCCATTAACCAAACTTAGCAAGGGAGCTCAGATGCTGAGCAGGAACGAGCGCGCGGCTGTGGAGGAGGAGGCCATGCAGATTTGGGCCCGAGCGGAAATGCTGGCAAACAGCAGAAAAGGGATTGAAGGTCCCGCCACTAGAGGGCTGCTTTTTCCATCCGCTCCACACGCGGGACACTCAACCTCTTCTCTCCATAACAAGAGCATGGGCTTCCTAAGACAGTTAAGAAAAAAACGATGTAATGTCTGTGAATTGCTTTCAAATAACCCACTGGGAGGGCGGGATGGCTGGGAATATGAATGAAATGAAGACTGGCCATTTTGTTAATAACGGTTGAAACTGGGGGATGATACTGTGGAAGTTCATTATACTGTTCTGCATCCATCTGTAATATTAGTGATTTTTCATAATAATAAAAACACTCACCTGTAGACCTTATTAACCAAGGTCACCCCAATAAATTCCATTTTTAAAATGTCAAAAAATAAAAGGATTACAGGCTTGAAGGAGTGCTGATGTATGGGCTTGCCTGGGATGACCACAAGTCTTGCTTTAGCCGCGGATCAAAGGAGAGAGGTTTGATGCCACCAACAGAGACAGAAGGTCTGGAGAGGGGGGTAAGATGAGTGGGCGCCGGGGAACACCCACACTTAGGGGCAGGGAGAAGAGCTGCGGGTGGGTGACGGACGGTTCCTCTTGCTGTGAGCCGCTGGGCCGGGCACGTGGCAGGAGAGGTCACCGCTTCCTGGAAAATCAGGCCACAGAGTCCTGAAAAACCACACTGGGCTTTGACGGGCCGTTTTGGGTCACCTGAGTATAGCTTTCCCGTGTTCCTGCCATAGACTGGGCATGGACTGTGTGTTCCCCCAGACTCGCGGGCTGAAACCTTAGCCCCCGATGTGGTGGTGTTAGGAGCTGGGGCCTGCGGGAGGCGACGAGGTCATGTGGGCCGAGCCCAAATGCATGGAATTCGTGCCCTGATGAAAGAGACCCCAGACAGCGTCTGCCCTGTGAGGTCGCAGCTGAGAGATGGCCGTCTATGAACCTGGAAGGGGGCCCTCACCGGACTCTGAGTCTGCCAGGGCCTTGCTCTTGGACTTCCCAGCCTCCAGAACCGCGATAAATAAATGTCCGAGTCTATCAAGGTCCTGGTCTAGGGTATTTTTGTTACAGCAGCCCCAGCTAAGAGAGACTATTTTATGAGCACCCCTACTTTTCAGGAGCCTAAGAAGTCTCTTGCCCAACTCTCCTCGACTTAGCCCGTCCCTTGCACTTGATCCCAAGGACTGGGCCTGAAATAACACCCTCACACCCTCTCTTCTACCCACCGCCCTCCTGACTTCCTGCGGTTATTATTCTGGCTTCTCACTCCTTCCCCTTCCTTCCCCTTCCTCCCCCTCCCTGTCTGCCTTCTTTAATTTGAGCCTTGTGATGGACACGGACAAGTCTGACGTCACGATCACATCTCTCAACGCCAGGAGTGTCACGAGACTCCCAGTTTGTTCCGTGTTGATTCCGTGGGATAGTCACCGTCCCTCCAAGGACACTGTAGAGAAGACACAGTTGGGCTCCCAAATTCCATCTTGGAAAACAAGAGGATGGAACCCTCAGCGACGGTCGCCTTTCGAGTGCATTGGGCACCGGCTCTGAATTTCAACGTCTGTCCACCCCCGGAGAGAGGCTGCCCGTCAATGCTGGTCTGGGCGGCATTTCCATTCAGCTACGTGACCCTGACAGTGCTGCTCTGCCTCCACCGAAATGCAATGTTTCAAGACAAATATTTTAAAAAGTAAAAAATAAATAAACAAAAATAAATTAAAAAATCACCCATTGCTTTTGCGTGTGTTCCTGAAAAAATCGTACGAGCTAATGCTTCGCGAGAGAGTATCTAACACCAGGGAAACAAGGGTGAGAGGAAAAGGGAAGTGAGGCAGGAAAGGAGGAAGAGCGGAGTCTAGGTGGGCATCGCCCAAGTTGGCCGGGCTTCCCAAGGACACGCATGGGACGTGTCTGGGAGGATGTGTGAAACCACTGAGCCTCAGACTGTCCAGCAGCACGGGGTGGGCATTAGGAGGGGGGGCACGTGGGACAAGGTGAGCGATTTCTGCCCACTCCATGTCTCTCTATTTTATTTTATTTATTTATTTTATTTATTTATTTTATTTTATTTTATATTTTATTTTATTTTATATTTTATTTTATTTTATTTTATTTTATTATTTTATTGATTTCAGAGAGAGGAAGGGAGAGGAGAGAGAGACGGAAACATCAATGATGAGAGTCACTGATCTGCTGCCTCCCAGCCGGGGATGGAGCCTGCAACCCCGGGCATGTGCCCTGACCGGGAACTGAACCTCAATCGTAGGTCAGTGCCCAAACACTGAGCCAAACTGCAGGGACTTCGCGTCTCTCCGAAGTCCTCCCTGTGGGCCACTAACCTCCCCCCACTTCCAGGAGGACCCCATCTCCTGGGCCGGTCCTGGGTATGGAGGCCGCTGCAGCCTTAGCCCCTGTGATCATCGGAGACCGTCGGAAACGTCAGGAGCTGGAGACCGTGGCCCTGAGCAGGGCTTTGCAGCCACGGGCGCGGCGTGAGCCGTGGCTGCTGGTGTTCACGACCCAGGTGGGGGAGGCGGGAGGGGTGCAGGTGGGGTGAACCCAATTGGGTCTGCCATACCCACAACACAGCCTTGCGCAAAATGACGTATTCAGTAGAATTCCTCCCGTCACCCCATTTCCACTCCTCGACAGTTTGGCCCCGGCTGGTCCTGATTTTTTTCCTGAGACTAAACATATATATATGTGTGTATATACATATATCTATACACACACACATATATATATAAAAACACGCATTTATTGATTGATTGTTTTGAGAGGAAAAAACATCGATTTGTTGTTCCACTTATTTACGCATTCATTGTTTCTTTTTTAAATGATTAACTTTACTGAATTGGATTTACGCCACCTTTTTATTTACATCTTGTTACCACAACATTTTTTAAAAAATATTTTTTTTACTGATTTCGGAGACAGGAAGGGAGAGGGAGAGAGAGAAACATCAATGCTGAGTCATTGATCGGCTGCCTCCCGCTCGCCCCCTATTGGGGATCGAGCCCGCAACCCGGGCCTGTGCCCTGACTGGGAATCCAACTGAAACCTCCTGGTTCACCGGCCGATGCTCAACCGCTGAGCCACGCCAGCCGGGCACCTCTGCAGGTATTTTAAGCAGAAAGAGATTTAATGCAGGGAACTAGAGGCATATAAATGGGTTGGTGAGGCTGGAGGAACAGGCTCTCGGCGGAGCCTCCTTCAGGGTCGGCTCCCAGAGCAATGCTACAGACCTGAGCTGCCAGGAGAAGCCGCTGCCACGGCCTGGAAGGTGGGGAGCCGGGGGACCCCTGCTAGAACCCCTGGGCTCAATCGCACATGGTCACGGCCAGGAGATTTTCAGCGCTGCAGCTGCACCGGTTTCTCGACACCAGAGGTGGGAAAGTGGGCCACGGCTGCCCCCTGTTGCCCGCTGTCTTTAAGCAACGATCCCTGGAACTTGCACAGCACCTTCCCACACCAGGTGCCACCTGACCTCGCCCCATCAATAAGGCATAAGGCCTTCTTCCCCTTTGCAGATGAGCAAGGAGGCCATGGCAGATAAAGCCACGCAGCTCCGTGCAGAACTGGAGTAAGGACCTGGCCCCTTCCAAGGGCCCGAGGAGCTTGTCCTGCGTGAGGTCTTCTGTGGGCCCCGGGGCGCAGGGGACACCTGGGCAGACCAGGAGCCAGCCGCAGCCCAGGAGGCACGAAGCTGCGGGGTAAGCACCGAGGGAGGGGCTGGTGTTTGGCAGAAGGATTCAGACAAGAGAGGAGGGGCCCTGTGAGTAGGACTTTGAGGGATGAGTAGGAGTACGTCAGGGAGCAAAGGGCCTGGGGGGGGTGGGGAGTCCCAGCAGCTGGCAAGAGCTAAGGGGGTGTGGTGTGGCAGCAGGACTTTGGGGAACTGCGAGGGCTCTAATGATGGAAGATTTGGGCAAAATGAAAACAATTCTT